TTGCTGGTTAGGTTAGCTCAGTTACTTAAAGCACTGCTTGGCCAAACGCAGTCAGGTGCAGGAGACTGCGGTTTGGTTCAATCCCCAGCTCCACAAGCCATACCACACCCTCCCTTGAGGCAGCCTGAACTAGCCAAAAAAAAAAAAAAAAAAAAAAAAAAAAAGGTTAAAATTTTTTTTTTTTGTTTTTTATTTTTATTTATTTTTTTGTGGAACTGGGAATTAAACTCAGGCCCTTGCACTTGCCAGGGAAGCACTTATTCCATTGAGCCATCTCCCTGGCCCCAAGTTTTTGATTTTTAGTTTGCCTTTTTTTTTGGCCAAACTGGTGATTGAACTCAGACTCTTGCGCTTATTCTACTGAGCCATCTCCCCTGCCCCTCAGTTTGCTTTTGAGTGTTATCCACAGATGCTTTCACATTAACTGACTTGTCGGGGTTACGTAACCACTAGGCAGAGTCGTCACTCACTCACCCAGCAGTTGCTGTCCAAGGGCACGCTTTGGGGAGGTGCTGTGTGTGTGAGAGAATGCTGTCATGGCATCCAGGAGCTTATCTCCTGGTAGGATGGGTGGAAGCACACACACTTGAGGAAAAAAGCAAGATACTTGCAAGATGTAAGCAGCATGTGAAGTAAACAAGGCCAGTCCATCTCTAGACAATCACAGAAGGTTCTGGAATGTGGCTTTAGGGACCTGTGACATCAGCAAGCATTTCCTGTGCTGATGTCACGAGCCTGGCATTCATCTTTGTCTTTTAAAATATTTATTTACTTTTGTGGTGCTGAGGATCAAACCCAAGGCTTCATGCATGCAAGGCAAGACCTCTACCACTGAGCCACATCCATCTGCAGCCCTGGTTTTTATGATTATTAGTACTTGTTTGCGGTATATAATGCTTACTGTAATTGTGAGGAATTGCTACATGTACATAATGCATCTTAATTCATTTTCTGTCTCCTTTGCCTTGCTCCTCTTCCCATCTCTTGGTTCCTTTCCTTTTGCAAAAGGTCTATCTCTCTGTTTCCTTTTTTTTTTTTTTTTTGAGACAGGGTCTTGCTGTGCAGTTCAGGCTGGCCTAGAGCTCACTTTGTAGCCCAGGCAGGTCTCGAACTAGTAATGATCCTTCGGCCCCATCCTTCTGAGTGCTGGGATTACAGGCATGCACCACCATGCCTGGTGTCCTGTTAATTTTTTCTTTTTCTTTTTAATTTATTTATATTCTATCTTTAGAAACTATACAATATTTAAGCCTGTGTGTCTGATTTATTTCACTTACTATTGTACACCCATTCTCCTACAGATGACCCAAGTTTATCATGTTTTATGGCAGAGTGGTACTCCGTGGTGTCAAGAGATTTTCCTTGTTCATTCATGTGTTGGTGGGCACATAGGCGGCTTCCAGGGTGCAGCTTCTGTAAGTTGTGCTGCTGTAAAAGGGGGTGTTCCTGATCACTGCAATATGATGTCCTCAGTTCTCTGAAACAGATACAGACGAGGGGTTGCTCGGTTGGATGGGATTTCTAGCTTTACCTTTTTTCTCAACAAGCGTTTTACTTTTATGAATTTGTTTTCTTTTCCTTTTACAAAAGAGTGCAAGCATACCCCAGCAGTGCTGTAGCAGATGGCCTGAGCAGTATGGGAAGCCAGGGTTCGAAGCCCTAGTCCATGGAAGCAGCTATCTTTTTATTTTATTTTTATTTTATGTTTTTGCCCTTACAGTATTTTTGTTTGTTTGGTTTTTTTGGCGGAACCGGGAATTGATCTCAGAACTTTGCGCTTGCCAAGGAAGCACTTATTCCACTGAGCCATCTCCCTGGCCCCCTGACCTTACAGTTTTTTTCAAATCAGATTTTATGAGTACATTTTAGATATACATAATGATCGTGCTCATCATAGAGAATTTGCACGTGTGCATGATACGACTTGTTTCTTTTTCTCCTGTCCTCCTCCCCTCCCTTCAAGCCCTTCCCCCTTTCTGGTTTACAAAGGAATTTCTAGTTTTAGCCTTTTGAGACATCTCCATGCTGCATCCCACAGTGGTACTACAACAGCCCTGCTGATGGGGCAGAAAGGTTCCTTTTCCCTAGAAGCCTCACCACCAGTTATTTTGCTTGCGGTTTCTCTTTTCTTTCTGTTTTTTTCAGTACTGGAGAATGCGGGCTTTATGCATGCTTAGCAACTGCTGTATCATTGAGCTGCATCCCCAGCTGTGTTATCTGACTTCTTATCGATAGTCCTTTATTCTGGAGTCAGGTGGAATTTTGGTTTTAATTTACTTTTCTCAAATGGTCAGTGACATTGAGCATGTTATGTATTTATTGACTGCTTATCCCTCTTTAAAGAAGTGTCTCTTCATTTTAGTTGCCCATTTTTCAATTTGGTAATCATCTTTGGCTTTTGCATTTGCTTTGGAAGGAAAGAAAAGATAAAAGCTACAATAAAGTAATAGAGTTTTAGACAGCGAGACTTAGAAGTTGTTGGTTATCTTTGTGATAATGTGCTCATTTCCCATTCTACTTTGCATCAAGCCTATCAGACACATGTGATGCCTGTTTTGTGTGTAGTCACTGAAGATAAGTTGGGTCTTTAAGACCATAGGCCAAGCCAGGAATGGTGACAGCCTGCTATAATCCCAGCACTCAGGAGGCTGAGGCAGGAGGATAGCTGCCTCAGGTTGAGGGCATCCTGGGCCTCACAGTGAGTTTGAGGCCAGGCTGAACTATATAGTGAGACCCTGTCTCAAGGCCCCCCACATCAAAAAAAAAAAAAAAAAAAAAAAAAAAAAAGACTATAGTCCCAACATGAAGAGTCAGTACTGCCTTCATCAGCCAAGTGGGCATGTTCTTGGTTCCTGCGAGGTGGCGGGGTTCCAGCTTAGACGGATCAGGCACGGCCAGCCAGTGTGTGGTGCCTTGAAAGCAACAAGGAACAGAGCAAGGTGACAGGAAGAGCTGTGCGTGGGAGTCAGGCTGCCAAGGGCGGGAATTCCTCTCATTCGCCGTGTTGGTAACATATGCCATGCAGTTTTAAGATCTCTGTGTGTATTTTATTTCCCACAGCAGTCCTTGTTTGTTTGTTTTGTACTACCTGGGCTTGCACCCAGGTCCCTGTATGCTGATCTACTTCCCAGGCCCTTTTTATTTATTTATTTTTATTTATTACATTTATTTATTGTGTGTGTGTGGCCAGCTCAGCCCACCAGGGGGCGGGGCTGGCTGGCATGTGGTGCTGGTGATCGAACCGCGGTCCCTATGCTTTGCCAAGCTTGTTTCAAGTAGGTGCTTTAGACCACTGAGCCATCTCTCCAGCCCCCCCCTTTTTTTTTAACAATTACTTTTTTAAAAAGAACTTTATTTATTTATGTGTGTGTGTGTGTGTGTGTGTGTGTGTGTGTGTGGCCAGCTCAGCCCACCAGGGGGCGGGGTGGGCTGGCATGTGGTGCTGGGGGATTGAACCGCGGTCCCTGTGCTTTGCTAAGCTTTTTCTAAGTATAAGTAGGTGCTTTAGACCACAGAGCCATCTCACCAGCCCCCTGGCCCTTTTGTTGTTATTTTGAGATGGGGCCTTGCCGAGTTGCTAAATTGCCCAGGCTGGCCTCTAACCCACAGTCCTTCTGCCTCTGGCTCCCAGACTGCTGGATGACAGGTGTGTGCCACTGCACCAGGCTGCCAGTCTTGCAATAGAGATGTAATCATTGCCTTGCTGTCTAGGTTAGGAGACTGAGGGTCAGGGAGATTATGTAGTGTGGCCAAGGGCGCGCAGCAGCTCACGTGAACACCTAAGTGGGTGCGGGGCACTGACGGCATGGAGGCTGAAGCCAGGCTGTGCCCTGCACTGCTCTTTTGAGATTGTGGTTTTTTTTTTTTTTTTTGCGGAACCAGGGATTGAACTCAGGCCTTTGCGCCTGCCAGGGAAGCACTTATTCCACTGAGCCATCTCCCGGGCCCTGGCCCTGCACTGCTTTTTTGGACTGTGAAAACTTCATGAAGATTTATTTGGCAGCAGGATAGGTTTTAGGTTCCCAGGAGGCAAGGGAAGGAAACTTCACTGGGTCCTCCTGCCTGTGTAGTCATTGGCCAGGAGCTGTAAGATACTGGTACCTGTCAGCAGGTAGATCCTTCTCGACCCCTCCTGTGTGGTCTGCCAGCTCAAGAACATATTACAGAATAGTTCCTAACTCAGACAATGAACACTCCAGCCGTTCTTTATTTAGGTGAATGTATACGGAAAATGTATGAGCCAGCCAGTCCTCGGCCTGCGCTGACTTGAAATCAAGGCTTCCGATGCAGGACGTGCAGAGCCTGTGCCATTATCTGCTCTAAACGGCTGGCCTGTGCGCTGCTTTCCATTCACTCTCCCGTGGACACCTCCCTTTGCGGACACAGGGGAAGCCGGTGGCTTTCTCGGACAGCCGGGTGAACGCTGCTTCCTTCTGCTTCCTTCTGGCGCGGCTACAGCGACTGGAGCTGGGGCAAGCCCTGCGCTCTTCCTCCTGGTCCTGGAGCGGAGAAGGCGCAAGTTTATCCCGGATCCCCCACCATCCCAGCAACACGCGGAGCCCCGTTCTGGGGGCGCTCTCTTTCCCTTCTTGTCTTCCCTTGGGAAAGTGCTGTAGGGTGGAATGCTACGCGAGCGGCGGCAGGCGAAGAAAAGCGCTCCACTTACCCGCTTGGCCGGGCCGGAGAAGCAGCAGCAGCCCCGTCAAAGAACCCGAGCTCGGGCGCTCCGCGATCCCTGCCCCCGCGCACCCACCCGCCGCTCCGCAGCGCTCCTCGGAGACCGGCCAGCCCTCGCTTTACATATAAATGTATATATATGTATATATATATATAAAACTTCCCCGTCGCGTCTCCTCCTCTCTCTTTTTTTAATTTCCTATAATAAAGTTTCCTATTGGATATGGTCAGCCCCCTGATTTATGCCCGGCTCCTATTGGAAGCTCGCAGGGGCTGACATCACTTAGGAAAGCGAGGGGGTAGGGCTGCCAGAGCAGTTTGTCACCACCCAAGCTCCCTTGCCTCTGGCTGGGTGCAACTTCCATTTTAGGTGTTGGATCTGAGGAGAAAAAAAGAGAGGGAGAAGGAGAAAACGAAGAGCAGGAAAGATCCTGAAAGGAGGAAGCGGCGGCGAAAATCAGCTGCCTCGCTGGATTTGCTTTCCTCGGCACGTTGGCTACGCCTGTGGTTTCCTTCCTAGAGGACTGGTTTTTAGGAGTGCACGTTCGAGGTGTGTCTTTTTTATTTTTATTTTTTTATGGGCGTACAGGCGGGCAGAGGAGGAGAAGCGAAGTCGAATTTTTGTCTGACGGTAGTGAGAGGGAATTTAAAATCGGGAGTGAGTCTGTTGTGCTGATGGGTGACTTTTAAGCAATTATTTTTTCTTTCTACTTTCAAGACTGGGGGAATTTTGGTATTTTATTAATCTAAAGAGAGGTAAAATATTAAAAAAAAAAAAACTCCGTGTAATACAAGGAGCGGAATGGAACCAGAGGGGGGAGAGAAGTGTAAATGTATATTTTGGCGTGTTCTTTGATTTTATATATATTTTTTTCTGGATTAAACTAATACACTTTTGCTTTCACAGACCAAATCAAAAGTTGGGGATTTTTTTTGGCATGTTGCGTGTGGGCTGGAAAGGAATTTGTCCGGGTCGGAAGCTCCTTATACAGATGGCTCTTCATATGTTTCCGAACTTGTTTTCCTTTTAACCATTGCGTTGTGGAAACGGAAAGTTGCAGGGAGCCTGGCAGCGCCGGTGCACAGCGCTGTCTTTTCCTCCCGAGAGTTTGCTCGGCCAGATGGGTTCAGCCCTGCCGCTCCTGGGTGGATCCCTCCTGTACTTCTCCAGGTGCGCCGGGTGGGAGCCTCCCTGCTCTGCTTCATGAAAGAAAACAAGCGACTCCGTGTTAGCGGAGCTGCCAGCCCTCGTCCTCGCAGAACCACTTTTGGTGGCCAGGTGTGTGGACCCGTCTGCGCTCGGGTGGGAGTGCGGCAGCATTTGCACTCCGTGCTTAAAGGGATACAAAATTCTGATCTCGCTTTTTGTCTCACCTGGAGAAAGGGGCAGAACACTTGAAAATATTTCCAGCCTCTGGTCTGAAAGGGCCGTGGGTTAAATGTTAGGCTGAGAGAAAACACACAAACTTCGCGTTTAAAGCACACTTGAGAAAGTAGAAGGGGAATTTTTAATTTTAAGCCAACTGAAAAGTTATTTGGGGTGAGCTTTTGTTTGGTTCGTATACCACAAACCATAAATCTGTTAGAGCCCAAGGTGGTGCTGTCATATCTTACATTTAACCCCGAGTTTGATTTTTGTTTCTGTAAATACGTTTTTGCAAAAGTACTGATTCTAGATAATTATATAGCCAACTCATCAGTCGGTGAAAACTAGGCTGTTCTTTTCCTTCTTTGAAAATTTGAATCTATCTGAAAATTGCCGCGGGAAGCGACCCTGCCCTCATAGTGACTCCAGAGCCTTGCGCGCCGCCGCTGCCTTTGAGTGGTGGGGCTCTTCAGTGAGCTGCTGATCCCCTCCCCCGCCCGGTCAGCCAGGACACTTCCTTGCGTTGCTCTGGTTAGCTTGGGAGCTTTTCTTGAAAGATGATTTCATCCTTGTGAGACTGTGGCTTCAGGAAGAAGCAGAACTTTGTTTCTTCTCTCAATACAATCCGGGCTAGAGCTGCAGGAACCTTCCGATGGCTGGGTCTCATGATTACAAGTCAGAGAGAAGGAAAGAAAGCAGACAGTGTGCGGTGTGCTGGGCTGCAGCTACGGTGTAAGTCTTTCAGGCTCCCCTTTGCAGTGCTCTGCAGTGCCCTGGCCCGGGGAGCTCTGGTGGGCTTGCGGGCCGGTCCTGCTGCCGCGAGTCCAGTCGGTTTCCCACTCCACCTTCAGGGGGAGGGACGGCGCCTTCGGGAGGAGTACAAAGGCAGTTTGAAATGGGTTCTGGATGGCTGAGTGCTGGTGATTCCGTCTGGCTGTCGACCTCGGGCTTTGTTAGCTGCCTGGAGCCTCGGAGTTAGCACTGTCGCCCCGGAAGGAGGCATTGTTTTGATTGGTGTGGAGAATAGAGCCTTGGGGTGGTAAGATGGAAGGTTTGTCTTTTACTCCACCTCCATCAGTTCTTCTGAAATTGATGGGAAGGGCCGCCAAGTAAGTCTTTTATTTTGTAATTTTTAAATTTTACTTCTCATTTTGATTTTGGGGTTGAAAATGGTGAAAAGAAAGGTATGAGTTGTGCAGTTTACCCCTCTGCTTGCCTCTTCAGTGATTCTGTGGGTTTCTTTGTTTTGCGGGCTAGGTAGAGGTCTCTATTCCAGGTGGGGTCTCTGGTTGGTGGAGTTCAGTTCCTTTCTTAGGATTTCACTGTGGGCAGGCAGGAGGGGCAAGAGGTGTTGCCTCAGCTATCAAATCAAGGCTGTTGGGGAATTTAAAAACCAAAAGCTCGGAGTAATTAATTATCATCTAGTGTAGGTTTGTGAAGTAGCTGCTCTCTAGGGATGGTGAGATAGGATGGATGCAAATGAAGTAAGCATAGATCCCTATCAGCTGCAATAACAAAATGACTGTCTCTGTGAGTTACTGCTTTCTGTTTTGGGACCTGCCAGTCTTCCACCTGGCCTTGGCCTCCCCCTCCCTGGGTCTTACTGTATGCTGAGTATTTCGTATGAACTATTTAATTTCTAAAACAACTATTTTTAAAAGAAATTTGAGACTCAAGCTGAGGTTTGCTGAAAATCTTACTGTCTGAATGGTGGAGGCCAGGGTGTACCCTGGTGACTTGACTCCCAAGTGCACAGACCTTGTTCAGAACAAATGGAAGAGATAGCTAGAACTAAAGTGGACCGAGCTGGATGTGTTGTGCCTCAGGCCAGGTCACAGTCAGATTTCCAGTCTTCACCCACCCAGGTTGGGATCCATTTGCCTTAGTTCCTATGGGGAGCTGGACATGCTCAAATAGATACTGTTTTAATCTTTAGCCAGGGATCTTTTCATTCCTGATACTGCCCCCCCCCCCCCATGCAGGGTCTTTGCACAAAGCAAACATCCTTAGCCCTTTTTTCTCCCTCTTTAATTTTTTTTTTTTTGACAGGGTGTCTGTGCAGTTCAGTCTGATCTTGAACTCACTTTGTAGCCCAGGCTGGTCTTGAACAACAACAATCCTCCTGACTCAGCTTCCCCACTGCTGGGATTATAGGTGAGAGCCACTGTGGCCATCTTCCTCTTTAAATTTCAGTAACTTGCTAAGTACTAAATGGCTCAGGCAGGGTTCAAGCTTGGATTCCTCCTGCCTCCACCTCCCAGAGGGTTGGGATGACAGGCTCCTGCCACCACTCCTGGCTTTTTAATCACTTTTTTTCTCCAGGTGCTGGGGATAGAGCCCAGGGCCTAGGGCATGCTAGACCAGTGCTCTACTACTGAACTGTGTGCCCCACCTCTGTTACCCTAATTTCTTCAGCTCCCCAGAATTGTTTCACACTTCATTTGCTTATCAGTGAAATTTTGTCTTCCAGGGACATTTCAGGTATTTGCTTTGCAATTGTGTTAGCCCATCACTGGAAGAGGCTGGTGGGAGGTAGTTGAAATAATGTAGTGTCTGTCACATTGTGTTGGAACTGTTTTATTTTTGTCCTCTTTCCCTTCTGACTGAATTGCCCGGGTGTGGGTGTGGTCTCATATCTGCGGCCTTGTCGTGTTTAGGTTACTGAGGCACTGCACAGGGATCTGTCAAACTTTTTTTCTTGAGGTGCCAGGGATAAATGTGTGGATGGTTTGAAAGGAAGCTGAGATCGGAAGCGGCGTAACATAAATGAATAAAGTTCCCATAGAACATAAAGCTTTTATGGTAGGCTGTGGTTTCTCCCTGTCAGACTCTCCTCCTTTCCATTCTTAAGCAGAGTTACTGGAAACAGGAGATTAAGTTTTAACTTTTCTTCAGTCCTAATTCCTTTTTTGGCAAGCAGACCACAGAGAAAACACAAGGGTCCTAGATAGTTCCTTTCCTGACAGACAGCTGTGGTGGCTTCGACCCTGAAAACATTCACATTGCCATTTGCTATGGGCAGCGGTAAGGGCAGTCTGCTTTCAGCCCTATTGGAATGGCGTTTTTGCACCTGTTAATACAAGTCTAAAGAGCTTGCCTGTAATCCCAGCACTTGGGCGGCTGAGGCAGGAGGATCATCCTGAGTTTGAGGCCAGCCTGGGCTACATGTAGAAAGACCCTGTCTCAAAAACAAAACAAAAACAGAACACTAAACAAAAATGTAAAGAGCTTGAAGTGAGAGTGTTGAACGTCAGTAGCATCAGTGCTGTAAGCAAAGTATATCGCTGCCGTGGTCCTTAGTGTTCTTTTCTCCCGTGGTGCTAGGGATTGAACCCAAGGCGCTGTGCTTGCTAGGCTAGCACACTGCCACGGAGCTCATCTCCAGCCCCCCAATGTCATATATATATATATATATATATATGTGTGTGTGTGTGTGTGTGTGTGTGTAGTTTTTCATTATATTTTTAAAATCACTGCTTTAGCCATGGAACTTGAGATTTTCTTTATGAAGTGTATGGGAAGTTTATGAGTTTCAGAACTAAAATTAATTTTCATAGGTAATTTAGAATTACAGAACTAGCAGGATGCTTCTTTAAAAATATGAACCATGGATAAGTGGGATGTGGACCTGGTGGATGGAGCCTGTCTTGGAAAGGGAGGCAGGAGAGCTAGAGTGTAACTGAATAGCGTTTAGTTGTGATAATGTAGTTTTTGAAATAAATTTCCCTCCCTCATTCACTTGGAATTGCATGTTGTTGATTATTAGATGTTAAATACTGTTAGCACAGGGGCCAGTGAGATGGCTCAGTGGAATAAGCGCTTCCCTAGCAGGCGCAAGGGCCTGAGTTCAATCCCTGGAAAAAAAAAAAAAAAAAATACTGTTAGCACAGCCTGTGTTTACCATTCTGTTTCAGGGGTAGTGGGCCCCAATGTTAGGGACCCTTTGTCTCAGTGAAACCTTCAGTTATCTATTGCTCCCAGAATGGGCAGTGTAATCAGGCATTTAGTGGGAGTGGTAGGGCTCCAAAGAGTTACTGTTTTTTTAAATTTTTTTGTCTTTTTGAGACAGATTTTCACTATGCAGTTCAGGCTGGCCTTGAACTCACTTATAGCCCAGGCTGGCCTCAAACTCAGCCATCCTCCTGCCTTAGCCTCCTAAATGCTGGGATTACAGGTGTGCACCA